TAACTTTCAATGAATCCTGAATGAAGTGAAAGTTCATTAGAATTCCCGCCCCCGCCAAGTTAATTCAAGAACACTCTATTCTGACTTCTGTAAAGCAAATATTCATAAATTAAAATCGACATAACTATATCTTTATTTTATCATATCAACAATACATCTTGTTTCGATTAATAATTTGAAAAATCAATATATAATCATAACTAATGAAGCTTCCATCCACAAAAGGACCCTGCGTTAAATTCTGCAAGAGAAAAGATTACTGGTACATAAGGCTGTAAACGAATGTGCACTACGTCTCCTTGGTTTATTTCTATGACAACGACATTTGTGTGACTCATGGGATCTCTGTCCTCAGCGCTGCAGGACATTGTGTGAACAGTATTTGAATTCACTACCAAATGCGAGAAAAGGTATTTACAGGTAAATGTCCAGGAGAAGGTGTATACGCCATGGTCAGGGGAGGTAAAGATTCCTGTATGATGGTTGTAGCTTCCACCGATGTTTGTTATCACTTTGTCAAATATTACAGTCTGCATATTTCCGAGACCTGAGTGTGTTGTTGATGAAAAGAATGCAACAGTACCTGTAAAAAAAATGTCACTTTATCCTTCACAACTAAGTGACGACGCAATGTTCAGACACTTAATGTTCATTTCATAGAATTAGGACCTTTTCCCCCGCAAGCACTTTAAATATTGCGCAGTACAAGTTTCTCTAAAGTTTAGCGCAAATCATAATGACGTACTATTTTTATGGGATTAAAACTTTTCATATTGTCTTAGATTTTAGCGGTTATGAAAAAGAAGAGAATTGGCATGAAATTGAAGATTAAATATTATACTTTTGAAAATGCGTGAAAAATGCGTGACTGCAGGGATACGGCAATATGCGTGAACGAGGAAATAGTATATTTGTTAAAATGCATGACTGTGGGGAAGGGGATTAAAGTAGTTTATTATATGAGATCAACTTTGATGACAATCTCTTCAGTTTTTTGAAAATTCCTAGTGCATCAATACCCATTTGATATAAGTTTACTTGTATACACGTACCTTCAAACGACTTCTTCTGAATTCTTTTTAGTGGTAATTTCGGAAGCAATCCATGTGTCTTGTTTACTACACTTTGTTCAGTAGCAGATGCGCTCTTGATTGGTTTAGTTTTTTCTGAGTCTTTAGTAACTGTAGTTGAGTTCTTTATTCCATGTTCTCCATGGTCTTTAGCGTAAATAGGCATCTTCTCCCCCTTTTCTGCAACGCTAGTCACTTTTTCCATTCCCTTGATCAACGATCTAATGAGTATGGCTTGCTCGTTGTTTATTTTTTCTTGTAAACTGAGTCTTTCTTCAACGTCACTTAGTCTTAATAATAAATCAGAGATAAGCATTGTTTTCATCTCCTCTTGCTGAACATCCACAGCAACAGCAGAAGATAACGACAAAAGAAAAAGTACAACGAACATCATGGTGAAGGTAATCCAGCATTTGAATGCTGGTAAATGCAAATTACTCGAAGGTTTTATATATTGTTACAGTACTGGCCTCTGAACTTTCAAACACGACATATGATAAGGCATTGGAAATGACAATGACTTGATAACCTTTTGTTACTATATACATGTACATTGTTTTTAACAACGAGAACGATCTTGTAGTTTCTTGCAAAATTCCCTTTCTTGGTTAATTAATATTCTCATAGTTAATCGTAACTTTCATTAATAATTTGATGTAATATTAACATTTTATTCTTTTTCAGTAAAAATTTCTTCCGTTGGAATGGCTAGGAAAAAACATCATCACATATCCACAGTTTTTTTTTTAAAGAGAAGATTATCTTGTTTTCGTTTTACAATAATGTTGATCACTTTATATAAATTAAAGTATTTACATATGTTTATTATAAAGAATCTGATGAAAACACACTCTTTATTTCATTAGTATTAAACATTTGAAAAACATTTCAACCAATATTAAACATAAAAAACATTATCCCAATTCAAACCAAGGTAAAAGTAAATCTTAATGATACATTTTAAGTTATTCCTATAAATCGACGCATCGAAAAATATTATTTTATACGTTGCTTTAAAATGAATTACATACATGTATGCAAGAAATTTATTTAATACAACAGAAAGGTAGTAATGTCTTTGTAGTTGACATTTTCAAAATGTGTTTCTCGATATATCAAAATCCTCTAATAGACCGGTTTCAGAAAACGGTAAAAAAAATATATAATTACAAGGAATCCACCCAGTTCTAAAAATACACAAATAGATAAAATTAACTTCTTTGAACAATTTTTTATAAGCACAAAGTAATGTAACTTTTTCCAAAAAATTATCTTCAAATCCTTTAAAGGTATATTCTGCTTCCTTCCAAGTCTTTTCAACAAATTATTTATCAGATGATAAAATGGAGAGGAAAATGTGGATAAGAAAGAATATCACTATTAAAAATGCTATTGTAGTAAAAAGACAAATGATTGTTTTCTTAGAGTTACACTTATTTAATGGTTTTCTGGACATATTTTCCATGTTCATCATTTTACGTTCCGTTCTGTGGTTAAGTGCCTTTGAAATTAAAATCTTGCTTTCTATTTGACCTCTTGATTCAATATTAATATTGTCAACCATTCCTTCTTTTGCCATCATGTACTCCTTGGCAACTATGTTTTCTCCCAAGTCTTCCACAACTCTTTTGGGATCAACAATTGTTCCCCTAGTATCTGTTACTGACGCGCTGTAGAAATTGTTTGAAAACATGACTGGTCTTTGAACAGGCATGCTAATGTCTCTTTCATTAGGAAAGAGTGTTATTGATGGCTCTTCATGGTTGTTTTCATTGATATAGGTCATATCAGAAAAAGGGACAAAAGAATCAACTTTCATTTCTTCAATTTCCCTCTCTGTGACATCGACTGAGTAATTTTTTTCCCAATCAAATGATGTTCCACAAAGAGCATCTGAATGTCTTGGAGACATGAAATTTACAGGACTGTTATTCGCATAACTCACCAAAAGGACAGAAGTATTTTGATCTTTTTGCCTGATGCTGATCTCCATATTCGTTTTCATATTAGTTGTTTTCATGAAGGGTTTTGACTTTTCTGTTGAAATTGTCTGAGCAATTTCTTTCGAGATCCTTTTCACCTCCGGCATATTTTTCCAAAGTGAACCTCCGGGGTCCCCCCTGATTTGTATAGAGACACCATTGTTTGTAGTTGTAAATTTACCTTAATCGGTATAACTTGTTATTCTGACGGATATTTCACTGCATTTCCCTCGTTTCTCTGCTTCTTGAAACACCGATAACCTTCTATTGTCTGTTGTAAACCAAAGACCATTTCTTTTCACCACAGAAATACTAGGTATAGAATGTATGTTACATCGCCCAGATATGACATCATCCAGTGTATTTCCTATGGGCCTGAAAGGATGTGATGTGCCTCGTCCAAATGAGCTTCCTATGGAATCTTGACTAAAGCGAATTTCGGATGGTTTAAGGTACATTCTTGTGCTTATTCCACACAACGAATTAATGTAAATGCAAATAAAGCAATGGTATCTGATTTCCAGCTTTATATAACTATAAATAGATTTTGGATTTTTTTTTTTTTTTTCTGTTTTGAAAACAATTTTGAAAAATGTACATCAGCATTTAACGTGTCGTTCAATTTGTATAAGTGCAAATTACATTGTATTAATCACCAATATTTCCCGAATTCATTTATTCTCTATTTCTTCATATATACACTTGGGCAAAATAATAAGTTAAAATGCACGTTTGTCATGTTCTAATCAATTCATTCTCTGTCAACCAAATAAGTTTTTTTAATGTTAAAAAAATTAAGCACCAAACATTTCAAAATGCAAACAAAGGGAATAATCAATGCATTTGAAAATGAATTTTATTTCGCGATTGGGAAGGGATTTTTCTTTCTTTATTTTCCACAAAAGCTAAGCACTTAATATAAAAAAAGAATACATATATATTTTTCCTCTCGATTTAATTAAACGCTATATTCAAAAACAAAAGATTATATTCATGATATTTTCTTTGATTTTCCTTGTGCCTTTTCTCAACACCGTGTCATAGGCTGCGAGATCATAGTTGAACAGCAATTTCGAGATTGCAATCATTATCAACAAGGATTTAAACGACTTATTTGGAAAACGAAGGCATCTTAAGTCTCTTTTCTTGATGATTTATTAACTATATTTTAAGAAGTCAGACTGTTTCCAGCAATTTCTGTGAAGACAAGGAAATATAAAATACTTGACGCGGTACCGTTTTGATATCCTTTCACCTTGTGATAAGATATCATTTCTACTCTATAAAGTATCACAGTATTTTTTGTTTTAAAATTTAATTAAAAAAAATTAAATTCAGTATTATTGAGATATATTGAAAAAGTAGAATTAAATAAAAAGACAACCAAATTTACATATGTGTATTAATCACGTAAACAAGTTCAAACCTGCTAAACTAACCCACATAAACTACCAAAATTACTACACTGTATTATCAAGATTGTTATTGATAAAACAATAGGTCCAAAACAAACAATCTTCATGAGACATCTTCTCTTATATATATCTCTTTTGCCATGTTCTTCATTTGAACTTCTCTGTTGTTCCACGACTGGTCCTGACAGCATCCTAGAACCATCATCAACAGACACAACATGCAAATGAACGCACTCTTCCGATATGTCTTCGTCTTTATCGGTCTCGTTGTTTGATTTGACATGTGGTGTCCTCCTCCAAAGGCTACCACCTGGATCCCCTCTCACTTGGACCGACCGTCCTTCGTTCTCGGTTGTGAATTTATCGATATTAATGTATCTTGTCTCACAAACGTAAATTCTCTCACATTTTCCCCGTTTTTCACCTTTTTGGAAGACCCACAACCTTCTATTGTCTGTACCACTGACCATGTCGTTTCTTCACTGAAATGGCGGGTATTGAATGAATACTACATTGTCCAGACAAAATATCGTCTAGTGTTCGTCCAATAGGCCGATATGGATGTGAAGTGTAATGGCCGAATGAATTTCCAATGGAATCTTGGCTGAAACGAATATCGAAAGGTTTCAGAAAAATTTTGAAGGTATTTGATGGACCATCGACTGATGGCTTTACTGTCTTTAATATTTTCTGGATAAAAGAATCGAAAGGAAAGACTGCACCGTTATCAAAAAAATGCTGTGGAATTATGCATTCTGGTAAGGTGAATAAAAATTTCAATATTTTATAGCACTTTTAAAATACTTTTGATTTGGCAACATTGGGTTTTGGACAAAGGTGTATACTGATATTTTTTGTTTAATTGCAGGAGAGACTTAAATCAACTTGTATATTATTATTTTTTAAACAAAATCAAAAGACGTTGATGTCCAACTTGCATTCTGACTGTGTGCGTTTTTATTTTATATAATCTATTTGCATTATTACAACATTGTTGTTCTTTAGTTTCTTTCATATTCACTCATTTTTTAAAATTAATAATTAATATGAAATATAATATCATCAAAAGACTTAACGAATAAAACAAGATTAAATTAATGCTAACATAATAACTGTTAAGCTTTTTTGATAAACCTAAGTTTATAATTTAAAAATGGGGAACCATTTTTTTTCATTTCTCTTAGAGATGATTCTCTATTAAAATGAAATAATGTAATCAAAATATTTTTTTTTAATTTGATATATACAGAGATACAGTAATTAAACGACTGTAAAGCATGTATAAAATATGATATATTTCACATAATAAAATTAAAAGACTTTTCAAAATTACCAAATAAAAGTTATACATAACACAGTTTACAAAGAGCTTCAAGATTCTAGTACTTGGTAAATTTTGTAAATAAACATTTCTAGTATTCCTTTTCTCATAAAAATAGTATTCTATACAAAACACCTAGCATTCTGTAATATGTTGCTTCTCGTATGTTTTGAAATGGTATTTCTTGAAGAGAGTTTCGATAGGACAAAAAGGCCCCTTGATGGTCCCCGCAGATCTCTTGACAGATTCCAAGAATTTGCCATGATATATGTAGAAAAAATCTTGGATTTTGCAACCCCTCCTCATAATGAAGAAGGTTATACAGTTCATACAGAGTTTCCTTTTGTTTATGTGGGTTACCACGGTAACATAAAATTAGCAACATGAGTGTCATAACATATGGCGGCACATAAATACCATCGATATTTTTTATTAGTTTGCACTCTAATTCTAATTCTTTAATCATATTATCGTTATCAAGTAAAATGGGTTTTGTTACTACCCATCTTATTTTCTGACTCAGCGACAGTCCTTCAAGATAGTTCTCTTCTTCTGCATCATATTCATGCACAAATATAATACAACGCTGTGCAACAATACTTTTTATCATTTTTAGATATCTGATTGCCTCTACAGTTTTACCCATTGAGTACAGAAATAAAGCCAAATAAATCCTATCCGAAGAAAATCCCGTATCTGTACTAGTTTTTAAGAATTTCAAACAAGCATACGAAGTTCTCAATCTGCTTTTGTTGCAGACATTGTTAGATGTATTGTATAAATAATAGACAACGTCTCTGAGAATTGTTGATATAAATTTTCTTAGAGCAACTTGTTGCCTTGGATTGAGGTTTGACATCAGTAAGTACTTAACTGCAGAATAAAGAGGATTGAAACAAAGTCTGGCATTAAAACACATCGTCCAAGGTGAATCGTTGAAACTAATTTCATGAAAAAGTTCGCAATCAAGGCATAATTCAGAAATGATATTTGACTCAGCAGTACTTAAAACGTATCGTCTATTACAAATCGCCAGTGTTAAGTAGTCTCTGATCGAGTGACAATGTAACAAGCATGCAATCCCTAAATTGTAATTTTCAAAAAGTTTTTCAAGCAATACATGTCGTGAATGTCCATATATTTTCGATATGAATATATTATTTACAGGCATAAAGAAGTTTGGAAGGCATTCACGATGCACACATGATATTAAAAACTTAAAACACACCCAAAATCCTGACAATAGATTTGGTGGATCCCAACTCACTTCTTTATTATTTTGAATTACCCAAAATAAAACTGTTTTCATAAAATATGAACAAAGAAGGGACTGTCCAGTTTTATCCTCCACTGTAAGAACCTCTTTTAAAAATAACTTCAGCAATCCATAACACATAAACTGTGTGTGATTCATGCAGTATACAAGTTTTTGCTCGGCAATAGAGAATGAAATTCTCCATTCCAAGTCTTCCTCTGGGGATTCTTTGAACCCAATTGGTACAACATGACATCCTGAGTTGGCGATATCACTTAAAACAGGATTCGGGGGCCATGCTTGAGACCTACATCTAAGAGTAAACGCAGAGGCAATGGATGGCCAGAGACGACATGCAAAACAGTATGCAAATTCATATTTAGTATAGAAATCCCTTCCACTCATACAAGGCCCATGTTGTACAGGATTTTCTTTAACAAGTGATGCTGCCATTTTTCTGTATTTTGAGCTTGATATATATATCCTATCATTTTTTTCTTCGCACGATACAATGACTGTATCTCCAGCACATGACTGTATGACAACATTGTTTGTAGAAGGCAGTAGCTGTAACAAAGCATATCCAGGAGGAGTCTCAAAACACTCCATTAGGAGCAAAGTACATCGTTTTATGTTGTATTTAGCTATATGATTTAAATCCCATAAAACATGATGATCAGTTAGCCACACCATAAAGTCTATGTCTGATGCAAACCGACCGAACCCCTCTCTCATACTTCCACTGACCATAACTCTCAGTCCATGTGGTTTTACTGGCTTCTTTAACATATCACTAATATCAGCTACTTCTCGTCTTATGGATACTTGTGTTGGCGTACCTACAATCCAACACATAACCACGTAGACTGTCTCTGATATCTTGGGTGCTTGCTCCATTCTGATTAAAGAAAACGTAATAATTAAAACATTGAACATATGTATTTCACCCTTAATTTCTTCGAGAACAAATGAATCTTTGGTTATTTCAAATGAGACCTTGAAAACTAAGGTCCCATATCACGATAAGAATCCTACTACTTAATGGCCTTGAGTATAGGTCTTAATTTGAAACCATTCACAAGGACATTTCTGTTTGAGTTAAAAAAAAATGTGGTCCCCTACTTTCGGTGTAATTGGGGGTGAGATGTCATTTTTATGGTATATTGTATCAAATATGAACGCCCTTTCATATGTCCATAAAAGTTGCTGATCAGGCGTCATAGAGAAGTAATATAACCTGCACCGGTTAGAATATTTTCGATCGTACTTAGAACATACTTCTGTGTATTAAATCAATTGTAAAACACAATGTCATTTTCCTGGGGGTTTATTTTTTGGGGTATAGACCCACAGACTGACGTTTCTTATGAAATGTAAAGTCTATAGACACAACTACTAAAAATCCTTCATCCAAGAAATTTCCTAACAAAGTCCTCAAAATTTGGCAACACGAAGGAATGTGGCTATACCGTATGGGAAGCCCTTTTGCTATTTAATCAGAAATACATTTTATCGTAAAATTACAGAGATATCTCTCATTTTAGAGAGATATTTCTTAGAAATAAATATATCTCCCAACTTAAAGAAATATCTCTCATTTTTAAGAGATGTCTCTATAAGAAAAAGATATCTCTTGAACTTTTTCTCTTTTACGTGAACAGATATCTTTTTTCCTTGAGAGATATTTCTAAGGTGAAATGATATATATACGAAAATTAAAGAGACATCTCTTTCACCTAGAGAGATTTCTCTTTTCGTTTTGGAGATTTCTTTCCAAGTTAAAGAAATATCTCTTTAAGTAAATGAGATATCTCTCTTAGTGTATCTTACGAGATATCTCTCAAAGTGAAAGAGATATCTTTGAAAAGTGTCCGAAAGAGATATATCTCAAGCAAAACGAGATATCTCTTTATTGCAAAGAGATATCTCTCTTTATTATGTTTATATAAATTCCATTTGAAATGACTTCTCCCATTACTGGAAGTAAGATTTCTTTTAACAGAAGTACATTAAAGTGTTTTTATATTTCGACATGTTTATAATGGGCCTTTACGAGAAGCGCTGACTTAAACATTTGACGAATCATACTCACACTAGGAAAGTGTATGGAATCTCTTTTAAGATATAAATATTTAGCACAACATTTAATTAAAGAAAAATAATGGGTTAGTTCAGTTGCACAAATAAGTTGCCCTTGAAGAAAACGACAGTCACCCTACCCTCAAATCCAGGCCTTGACATATAAGTGCCCCTAATAGCATTACTATGACCACTAAGAAAGGTTTTCTTATCCATTATCAATTCTGTACCTCCGTAGATGACACAGGTTTTAATGTCCAAGTAAACAATCAACTGTAAAAGTCAGTTCTTCTCGTAAAAGTCCAATATTCTACATTATAGCTTTACTAAACATGATAAGTAATTCAGTGTTTTCTAGATTTCAAAGAAGTAGGTATGGTTTCCATACAAATTTTGCCCTGTGATTTTCTAAAAGATGAAACTGGTGTAAAAGTTGAAAACTCATGCTTTTTAAATAATTGAAATTCAATGCAGAAAAATGATACAAGTAATTTTTCTCACATGTTTGTAAATACTATTTATGACGTCATAAACATGTGCATTTTCCCGTTTTTTCTTAAAAAGTTGCAGAAAACACCAATTTTCAATGGAATTTTCTTTCAGATAACATTGTCCACAGGCATCGCCCACAAAGATCTCGAGATATGTGATTTGTTATTGAATTTTGCACAAAATATCAAAACATTAACGTGGGCGACGGCTGTGGACACTGTTTTCTAAAGGAAAATCACCCTCGAAATGTGCCATTTTGAGGCTTTTTCTGTTGAAAATAGAGAAATGCTTCACATTGATGACGTCATATTTGCAGAATGGTAAACCTTTATGTCATATTCTTACCTGATTTATCAGAGTCATTTATTTAACTAATATTTAAGCCAGTTTCAAAACTTTTTGATGTCATTACATTTTTAGAGCGCAATAAAGCTAAAACCATACCTTCTTCTTAGTAATAGTTGATTATTTCATAGGCTGAGAAAATTCGGCCCATTGCATTTGAGATTTTATGCTTACTTTCGTTTTTCTTATGTTAAACTTTTATTATTAGCAAAATTATTCCAAAGACTTTACTTCTTGTTTCGCTTTCGTTTTAAAGGGGAGAACTGATTAATATTGTAAGGATCACTGGAAAATAGATATCTCTTAATTTCACTAAAAGAGATACATGTATCTCATTAGCTTAGAAATATATCTCTTTTTGAAAATCTAAAGAGATATCTCTCTAACTAGGAAAGATATCTCTTAGTCTTGTTAAAGAGATATCTCTCTAACTTTAACTCTCTAACCCTTGCTTAAAGAGATATCTTGAAGAAATGTCTCTCTAGCTTATAAAGATATCCCTCTAAGTAAAAGAGATATATATCATACAAAAAGAGATATCCTCTAAGGCATAACGATATCTCTATTTGTCAAAGAAATATCGCTACATGCAAGCTAAGAGAGATTTCTCTGTTGTTGAAAGAAACCTTTTGTTTCACGAATAAATAGTATAAAGGGCTTGCCATAATATGGTAAACTACAAATGCCAGATTTGCTGTATTTAGTCATATTATTTTAAAAATTTGTAAAATAGAAAGGTTGAAGTCGTAACGTTTATCATAAGTCTTGCTCTTAGTTTCCTATTAATACCTTTCCTTTTTTTTTCTCGTAAAATATTCAAATACGCATTGAACAGATGAGTCAGACTTTGAAGTCTTTCATTTTGAGTTCAAATTGATATAACAAATCAAATAGGGAGTTAAATAAATATTGTTTAGAATTAATAGAACATCGTCCATATATCGTATTGTCTAATTGAAAGCCAAACATGAGTTTTCCCTCATTTCATGTAGTAGTGTTTGGACTAATTCTGCTTTATATGAAAACAAATACAGTGGAGCCTCATTTATCCGGACGCTTTGGTTCCTAGTCAATTTGTCCGGATATGTGAAGCATCCGGATATCTGAATTACCAGTTAAACAAGACAAAATAACGTTAAAAAATTCTGTTCCGATGAAAAATCGCCCAGATACTGAAGCATCCGGATATCTGGCGTTCGGATATCTGAAGGTTCACTGTAATCGTATGTATTCTTGGAAATTCCTGTATAAATACTGAAATGTCATATATTTTGATGCTACTGACTATAATTACACTTTCTGATATTAAATTTTTAAAAAGTTTTAACACCTGTTTTAAAATATCTTCTTGTATAACGGCTTTCCCGGTCCATCCCGGGCTTTAATACGCAAAATTGTAAAATTAAAAAATCCAGATGATTTCCGAAATTTTTTTGGGCGAATTTTCGTTGATTAATAATAAGCGAAGCTCAACTGACAAAAGATAAAAACAAAACTAGATGCAAGCAACGAGTAGGTCTTCCGTCCGATTTTTCGATGAGATATGATTTTGAGTTTGATCTTTGTTAAAACATAATGATATCATGCTTTCTCTCATTTGATTAAATTCTTTTCATTTAAATAATATTATCCACTCAAAACAAACAGCTTGATAGGCATCCAGTGCCCTTACGAAAAGATATTGCAGTATCAGAACTTAATGATTTGATTAAACGATGTGAATTGCAGGATATCTGGCGAGAACGAAACCCCGACAAACGATGTTACACATTTCATAGGGGCAATTCAAAATCAAGAATAGATTATTTCCTTACAAGTGAAAATATACTACACAAAATAAACAATTGTGCTATTGTCCATTTCCCATTTAGCGATCACGATTTGATAACATTAAAACTACAATTAGATAATATCCAAAGAGGCCCAGGGTTATGGACAATGAATCATAAAACATTAACAAACGACGACTTCCGAAAAACATTTGTTGAATTCTGGGAAAATAACAAGAAAAGCTTAGTTAACTGTCATGATATTCTATACTGGTGGGACTTAACTAAATATAAGATAAAAACATTGTGTATTGAGATGTCAAAAAAATTAAATGTTAATAAACAAAAACTAGAGAAATTAGAAAAAGAATTAGAAGAAATTAAAAACAATCCGATGACAAATAAAAAGTATCAAAATGACCTTGGGCAAAAAATAAAAGAAATTTATATAGATAAGACAGAAGCGGCAATAATACGATCAAAATGTAGATGGTTTAAAGAAGGAGAAGCTCCTTCGAAATATTTCTTTCAATTAGAAAAGAGTAATGGAGAGAAAAAATTGTGGAATAGAATAAAAACAGAAAATGGTACCTATAAAACTGACATTGATTCAATCATCGAAGAGCAAATTAATTTTTATTACAAATTACTAAATACGGAAGGTTGGGATAGTGAAAGTGGGGAACTATTATTAGCGGAAGTACAATGTAAATTAGACGATTGTGATGTAACCATGCTCGATAGTGATATAAGCGATCAAGAAATATATCTAGCAGTGATGTCATTAAAGCCAAATAAATCTCCCGGTGAAGATGGGATTTTATCAACTTTTTATCAGATATACTGGGATATAATTAAAAATGAATTTTCAAAAGTTATAAAACACATTTTTCATAAGGCCACACTTTGTGACTCGCAAACAAAAGGAGTCATTTCATTAATACATAAAGGGAATGAAAGAGAAGATATAAAAAATTGGAGACCTTTAACAATGCTGAACAATGATTATAAAATTATAGCTAAAATACTCGCCGAGAGATTAAAAAAAGTTCTACCTAAATTAATTCACCCAGACCAAAAAGGATTTGTTAAAGGCAGAAACATAAGTGATGCAAATAGACTGATTCAAGATATTATTGATTATGCTGATAATGAAGATTTAGAAGGAGCAATTATATTTCTAGATCAACAAAAAGCGTTCGATAGAATTGA